GGGTCAGCTACTTTCAGCCCAATCACTCACTCTTTTTAAGAAAAAGAAAAGAAAGGGGGGAATCCTATGAACAGTATATTGACCTCTTAGAAGAAAGTTGGACACAAATATAACCCTACAAAAACTTATTTATATTTTGTATTTCTAAACCACCCATCCAAAGGTGGTATTCAGTGGGTTCTGACCAGTTCTGGAGAACCTGTGGCAGAAATTTTGCGAAGTTCAGAGAACAGGCAAATACCACCTCTGGCTGGAGATTTTACAGTATTCTTCTCCTGCCATGCCCACCAAGCCACGCCCACAGAACCGGTAGTAAAAAATTTAAATCCCACCACTGTACCCATCTCCTTCAAAGACTGTGGCTGGTCTGAGTAGGATACAGATTATCATAGTGTAAAACTTTTGTCTTCATTCTACTCGATTCTTCTCCAGTCCAGCTAAAGTCAAGGTAATTGGGAAAAAGATGGGATAACTTTATTAAATAAAGAGGGCTCTGCCACTATGTTCCAGTCATTTTTCTTTTGAGCAGTACACTTTTCCCTTTGCAAACTATTTCAAAAACAAAAATGTTTGTTTAAAATGGATCGATCAGAGATTCCCCCCACCCACACTAGTTTTAGTTTCCTTTTGTTTATGAGAGAACATTGATCAATTCATGGGGAGCACTGTTAACTGCAAAAATGGCAACAATAAGGACCCTGGCAGGGTACTTCTGAGGTTTGATGGGATAGAAACAATGGCTGTGTTGAGGCAGCCTGTTGCTAAAGTAAGATACTAAATAAAGCTCCAACTTCCCTCATACAAGTAACTGACACACATGAGAAGTGAGATCCAGGATGGCTATGAGTGGGATTCCACCAGTATAACAACCAGTTCGGTGATTGCACGCTTTGTGTGCACATTCCTCATTTTAAAAAGCTCTAACACTTACCTTCTGCTGTAGTCCCTGTGAATAAAACAGCTGAGGCACGACAAACCACTCTGCGGCACGAATGAGCTGTGCTCTAACAAAAGGAAATAAAGCCCAGGAAAAAGCAGGCGCAGGTGGGTGGGTGGGCCCATATGCTCGTTGCAGTGAACTGGTTCTCTGCCAGCTGCTCTTCAGAGCAAGGGGTTCGCCTGAACTGGTCCAAACTGGTAGAATCCCACCCCTGAGGATGACCCATGGTCATGGACTTCCACATACCAAAAGCAACAACATCTGCAGTGGGATATAGTGGTGAATGGAAGACACTACAATGAATCAAAGCCCTTTGTATATGGGTTGGATACTGCAGCCCCCTTTTTGTTCAGTGGTGGATGGCTTTGGATGAAACATATGCTTTTAGCAACATGGTCTCATTTTGCTTTATAATTTTTCAAAAAGAATAGTCTGGCCCCTGGATCAGGATTTCAATGTCAAGATGCAATTTTCCATTTACCTCTATCCATCTTTAAAGGCTTATCTCTTCTATGTAAAGGGTGAGCTTGCAGGTTTTATTTGTAAAATTCACCAAAAGCCAAAGTATTTCTTTTTTGTTCAACATTATAAATATTTCAACTTATAAAAAAAGCTGGATTATTGGAACTCACTCCAGAGATCTAAACTCTTAAACTATTTTCATTAAGACACAGGAAAGTCACAGCAAAAGGCTACAGCTTTGTACAAGTATTGGAATGACTTCCAATAGGAAGTCATATTCCACTGAGACCAGGAGAATGGTTGTTTCCTTGTCATGTGGTACTACCTTATTTCAAAAAGTTAAGTAAAATTTAAGTCTACTTTACAATTGGAGAGCAGAACATTGTGAAATCCAAGGGAGAAAAACTAATCTCAAAAAATATTATGAAAGCAATGAAAAACTAGACTTGTTCATCAGGAGTGACTTTCACTTAATGAGACTTTAAGTTTTAATATCAATGATGATTGACATGATTAAATGAAAACACAGAAGTGTGATAGAATATCAGGAGAATGTAGAGCTAATAAAAAAGATACCTCAGACTTGGGAAAGAAGGAAGCATGAGAAAAAAAACTCTAAACAATTCTATCTTGATTGGCTTAGGTGCAAATTGAAATAGGGAGTAGCTTTGACAAGCTTTCAGGATTCTGTTACAGCACCCCAACCATACTCAAGTATTTTCCAAGACACTTACAGGTCCTGTATCTTTTGCCTCAAAGGGCTGACTGCAGCTTAGCCAAAAGTTCTGTTAATCCTAAAACAAATGGGACTGTTCCCATCTTGGTTTGCCTTGTATCCTTGATAAATTTCATGTTAAAATAAAAATATTGGTAGTCCTCAAGTTATGCACACAATTGGACCCGAATTTCTGCTACTAAGCAAAGTGATTGTTAAGTGAGTCATGTACAATTTTACATCATTTTTGCCATGGTTGTTAAATAAAACTCTGTAGTTAAGTGAATCAAATGGTCATTAAATGAATCCAGCTTCCTCCACTGACTTTGCTTGTCAGAAGCCAGCTAGGAAGGTTGCAAATGATGATTACATGACCCCAAGATGCTGTATGTCACTTGCCAAATGGCCACATTTTGATCACATATGTGACTGTGAGGATGATAGAACAGTCATATGTGTAATAACCGCTTGTAAGTCACTTTTTGTAGTGCCATTGTAACAGTCACCAAATGAATCATTGTAAGTCAAGAACACTTGTATTCATAAGAACATGTGCAAGCTCAAATTTTCCATGTCATTCTATTGTTGAGATAAAAATGACCTTTATAACAATGGGATCAATGTGTTGTATGAATATTTGGTACATAAACCCCAGTGAAATGAGTTGGGGTTGCTCAAACTATTGTTCATTTTAACTGGCCAGAAGTCATTACATTTTTCAGGAGATAATGTATCTGCTATTCTTTCCAATCCCAAAAGGAAAATTGCTTCTGCAACCACAAGAAAAATATATCCAGCTTTGCCAGTGCGCTGTACCATTATAGAAGAAGCAGTTGAGACTATAGTTAACAGTAAGCACTGTTCAGCATATTAGCGTATTTTTCATATACATAATAGTGGATTATTTCTCATAAACTGTGTACACCATTTTACTGAAAGAAATAGAGTGGCTTATACTATACCCGTTTTTAAATATGCTTTGAAAAAGCCTCTTTCCTTGGTACCATTTCAGACAGGCAATCTATACCACTGCAATCTGGAAGCCTCTCTCCCAAATTTATAGTGCCTGGTTGGTTTACACAGATGGCAAAGCAGGCTTATGAAACAATCTCAGAATCTCTATTTTACAAATTAACCTCATGCAGGTTTACTTTTTGGTTTGGAACTGGAAAGATACAGAAGGATTTGCAAACTAGAAGAAAACTGAAACTGTTTCTTAGTGTTATTCTGGATACAGATAAGCATTCATGAACCGATACATTATGAATTGATTACTGAAAAATAATATAGTAGTGGCAAGTTTGATTTACTCCTTCCCCATATTTACCTCAACATACTTTTACATGTCTAGATCCTGATAAAAGCTTAAAAAGATTGAAATGCGTTGAACCAACCCCTGAATTTATCTTTTGTCTATATTTGTTTTTCAGGTTATTTTATTTATTTATGACTAAGTAATCATGGGCTAAAGATAATTGTATCATTGAAAACTTCTATATGAGATTTGATCAATGACTCCTTTGTAACTTTCAAAAATAATGTTTCTGGCAAAAAGTTATCTCTATATTGTTTTAAAACTTCTTTCAATGTCATCACTTTGTCACATAGTAGACATTTGATTGTATGTTTCAACTTAATATAGTTATTCAAAGCATATAATCACTTTCTACAGTATCTCTAAATTCAATTTTGCCCAAAGATTAAGGCTGAAATTTATACTTCATGTACTTTACAAAAAGAATATTCATGCCTGACTTTATGGACTGCACTTGATACTTTTATCCCTAATACGCCCTGAAATTTATCATACATTTAATATATACCCAAACTGAAAAAATATGACCAAGGGAAATTGAATTATAGCTGAATTCAATTGGAAAATAATATGGCAATTTACAGAAATTTAAAAGTAGAACTAGAAAAGTTGACTCCATTTTAATATTTTGATTGGGCCTCCATATAAGATCTTGTATGATACAGAGAAGTGGAACCTAACTATTGCAATCCTACCCAATCCTTATCAGAACACTCTGTGGTGAACAAGTTAGTTCAACTACTATTCTGTGGTTCATCTGGCAAACCATCTCACCTATAATAGATACATAGCAATACAGACTTGACTCTTCTAGGAAATTATAAGTGATTAAGATCAAACTGTTGTTAACGGATAGTCAATACAAACAAAAAATGTCCTATTTTATTCTCTTCCCAGTCTGGTGAATAACACAGATCTCTCATTTTCCCTAAAGTTTCACTTAGAATATCTTTTGCTGCCCTGCCACAAAATGATATGCTGTGTCACACATAATCTATATGTGTGACACAGATATATTTGAAAGTGTTCGTGAATTATGATCATACTTAATTTGAAATAAATATATTTCAAATGTGTGTATGTGGGTGTGTGTGAGAGAGAAAATTTGAACCCTTTCACAACTGCCTGGAACAGCATGCTTCTGTCTCCCTACCACCACCTACAGCAATAGAAAGCTTCACCAAGATGGGGGTTCTGTTAGTAAATAGTTCTGTATGTGACTGGCAGGATTTCACAGTGATTAATTTTGCAAACCAGCAAAGTTCCTGGAAGTCTTAAACAAAAAAGGAAGACCATGAAAACTAATCACTTATCCAAAAGCATACCATAGGGTGCACATTTCTCTGTGTGTGAATGCACACACAAACACACACACAAAGTAAATAAATAAATAAAACCCAGGGGATTTTTAAAGGACAGTCGGCCTCCTTCCAACCCTACAGTGACAGCCACAACAGCTGTAGCCATGTCCTCTCCCACAAAGAGTCCCTTACAGTGAAAAAATAAATCCCAGGATACGTTTTGGCCAAAGCACACGCTGTACCTATAGGCACAGGAATGTAACTTACATCTCTGAATTTGTTCCAGTATTTATCTTTGTCATATTGGGAAACGGTGCTCAGCCATTTGTCATTGTCCAAAAAATTGCCATTGTTGCTGCTGCTGCTCCTAGGAAGGGTGATCTCTGGATGCCTGCCCTCTGCTTGCAGAAAACACCAAAGCGCTACGGCTAATATCCTGTACATCTGGCAAAAGAGGAAGAAAGCAGGCTGAGTGGAAGGATGCGGAGAAGGGAAGGCGACTATCTCACCCCACCGCCACCCCGGGCTCGGTCAGCCCCTTAAAAAACAAAACCAAACAAACAAGTGTTTTGAAACACGCAGCGGGGAGAGCAACCATAGGAGGGACAACGTGGGCTCCTCAAGTATGTTGGGCAACGGAGCTGTCTCTCTCACAGCAGCCCACGCCGTTGCGCAGAGCGCCGACGGCCACCGAGCGATGGGAACCAAGCTGACAAGCAAGTGGCAGTCGCCGAGAGGCCACCGGCGGTTGGGTTCTCGGCAAAGTTTGAGGCGACCAGGTGGGAATTCCTCCTCCCGATCCCGCCCTGTCTGCCCCCCCCTCCGGCCCAAATGCTCGTAGCAGTCGCCCCTCCGCCAAGTGTGAGAACGTGACCAAAGCGGGCTGGCGCGCCATGCCCCATCCGCCGGCCGAAGCCACCTGCAAGTTTTCCAGCCGGGATGCTCTAGTTCTACTCACCTTCAGTCGAAATGCTTCGCCGTCCAGGGCTGCGTCGCTCTTTCCGGCCGCTTCGGGATAACCGAGTCACCCCTTACCCCTCCTCCCCCTTTCCTCTCCGGCTCGGCTCGGTGTAAAAAAAATAAAAAAAAAAAACACCGGGAAGCCCGCTCAGAAGCTTCGTCCAGCTGCTTTGTGCGTGCTTGCCGAAGTGTTGGGCTTGGGTTATGTGTGTGTGTGTGTGTGTGTGCGCGAGCGCGAGTTTCCGACGAGCTCGGCACTAAGCGACGAAATCTGGCGCCACTTAGTGACCAAGTTACGGCACTGCAGGTGCTGGAGCTGGCTCTTTGCCCGGCTCTTTCTGGGACTGGCTGGCTCTCCCTTCGGAGGCCAGTCCTTTTTGGAGCTCCTGGGAGCGTTTGGCCTGGAATGATGTGCTTTTCATCCTCCGGTCGGGTTCAAGGATCCTCCGGATCCTCCGGTCGGATTCAAGGATTCCCGAAGCCGTGGCTTGATTATACTGTTGCTTTATTGAATAGGTTGCAGTTCACTGCGTTCTTGTGCTGCCTTATAAACCATCCTTTGCTAAGCGCAATAGCTGGTTTTGTACACAAAAATAAATGATTGAGCAAAGTGTATAACATTCAGGTCATACTATAGTACTGCTTAAATCGAATCTATATATCAATTTTAGGTATCTGTTAGAAGCCCTTATGATGTCATAAAAATGATACAGTGATACAATTAGGCATTTGCATGATTCACAGCATCTAACACAAATAGATACTTACTATATAAGTGGATAAGTAGTATGTAGTAACTACTTAGATGATATACTATCTATACAGTACACATCATTTGCTTGATTATGGCATCTGGGCTATTTTCCCCCTCCTCCATGGATGCTCATGCTACCAATTATGTTTCAGGATGGATTCACATATTCCGTAATGTGACTAATTCAATTTTGATTTTGTGCAGTGTTTGAGCTCTACAATCTATTATGGCTTGGACTTGCTAATGAAGCAAAGCTTGTTGCACAAAACACAATAAAACTTCTTGGCTTAGAGTATATGAATTCAGCCAATATAAAGTCCTATTTGGAATACTTCTGATTGCAATAAAGCACCATGTGATTTATTTTGTGACTATAGCCTTTAACTGAGTGTTAAAAACTGGGGATAAAAACACATCTGGCAAAATTCTTTAATTAAAAAATAATGAATCACCCTGCTGTATTTACATTTGTTTACATGTGTTTATATTACGACCCAGTCCACTGAGTTCAGCAGTTACTTATATGCAGATGTGATTTCTCTATAGCAGATGTCCCCAATTTGATGATCTTCAGAAATGTTGGAGTTCAACTTTCATAAGTCACAACTGCCATGACTGACATATTAAAAATGTGACATTATAAGGACCCTGTTACTTGGCTTTATTATTAGCTAATTAATCATGACAGCTGCTCTTTGTACTTATTTATTTTGTGAATCTTTTAAATGTTTTTTAAATTGTTTTAATTTAAAATAATTGTTTTATCATTTTAGATTTGTAACTCAGAGTTACTTGGTTGAGTTGGGTGACTATAGAAATTGAATGAATGAATGAATGAATGAATGAATGATTGAATGAATGAAAATTTCCTATTCCAGGTCCCTGAAAAGGTGGGCAAAAATTCAGTCTAAAGAGCTGGCTGACTATGTGAATAATAATCATCATCATCATCACCATTGGTCAGCTGCAGAAGGCCACCTTAGTGGTTATGGCTGACTAACAGAACACTGAAGAAAGTGACAGAAGGCCTGATTCTTGCAGCCCAAGAACAAGCCATCAGAACGAATGTAATCAAAGCCAGAATAGAAAAATCTGCTGATGACCCCAAATGCAGACTCTGCAAAGAAGCAGATGAAACCATCGATCACATACTGAGCTGTTGTAAGACAATTGCTCAGACTGACTACAAACAACGTCACAACAAGTCACTCAGATGGTCCACTGGAATTTTTGTCACAACTACCAACTGCCTGTAGCAAAGAACTGGTGGGATCATAAGCCTGAAAAAGTGGTTGAAAATGAGCATGCAAAATTACTGTGGGATTTCTGAATACAGACTGATAAAGTTTTGGAACACAACACCCTGGATATCATGATTGCGGGGAAGAAAAATGTGTGGATCGTCAACATTGCCATACCTGGTGACAGCAGAATCAACGAGAAACAACTTGAAAAAATCACCAGATATCAGGACTTGAGAACTGAACTGCAGAGACTCTGGCATAAACCAGTACAGGTGGTTCCAGTGGTACTCGGCACACTGGGTGCTGTGCCTAAAGACCTAGGCATGCACTTAAAAACAATTGCCACTGACAAAATCATCACTGGTCAGCTGCAGAAGGCCACCTTACTGGGATCTGCTCGCATAATCCGCCGATACATCACGCAGTGCTAAATGCCTGGGAAGTGTTTGACTAGTGATTTGTGATATGAAACCCAGCTCTGTATGCTCTGTTGTTTTTTGTTAATAATAGTAATAGTAATAATTAATAATAATAATAATAATAATAATAATAATAATAATAATAATTAATAATAATAATAACAATAATAATAATAATAATCAAGCATGAACAAGTTAAAATATGTTTAATCCAACTTTGGGTTATAACCAAAGTATTAGAAAATAGCTGAAGAGAAATTTGAATAGTGGAAACATCAAAACCATCAATATCTGGGCCATGCCTGTGATATAATACTGTATAACCAACCATAATAATAGTAATACCTTACACTGTGTCATGAACTGTAACTATTTAAATATATTGACTGTGTAACATTTTGGATTTGATTCAAAAATGTACTTCAAAGAAATTAGTGCTTTAAAGAGCTGCAGAAAAGTTCTTTGTTTCTCTGAATGCCCATACATCTTTTTCATACTGAAGATGACTGTTTTAAAGGTTGGTGTAGTTATATCTTATGTTGAGAATAACTCAACGCAAGGTATCCTCTGAAATATCCTCCAGTTCTAAATAATATGAGTATAGCATAATTCTAAGATGGAGTAGCAACTTCTCTACAAGAACTTTAATTTCAGAATCAAGATTGTTGCCTGCGTGATTCATTATTTGATTATTTGCAGTGCTGAGTGTTCTGTGCACTTTATAGTATTTTCCATGCTGAATGCATGTCAAAAAATTATAAAAAATTGATTGAAAGGTAGCTTCCCTTTAGTATTTTGATCATTACTTGATGTTATTGTACACACAGAACTATATTAGTCCAAAATTTCTTTACTTTTAGTGTAAATGCCAAAGGTCTATTTCATTCAGAGATAAAAAAAAATTAAAACTTTTTAAAAGGTACTCTAGTACATCTTCAGTGTAGTGATAACTATAAGATTATGCTGCTGTTACATCTGTATTGTCCAAAAAAACTTTTCAGTTGTTTACTCCAGATATTGTAATGGGGATAATGTTTGCAGAAGGCAGGGCTTTTTGTATTTTTGTTTACCCAATTATGACATAATTCCATATTTCAAATACTACTAATCCCTTTTGATCCTACTTAGCCTCAGATCTAAATTTAATCTTTGACAGAGATTCACATACTTCAGCAGCTGCAGAACATCACAGCTATTTATCATTCACAGTAGTACTAAAACATTTTTGCCTGTAAAAAGAATGGATTTATTTCCAACAACTGTGTCTAATTCCGGTGCTAAGATTTGAGCAGAGTAAGATCATCTGATGTACTGTATAAGAAAGTTTCATTATTAAACCAATAGAGCTCCTAGAAATGTTTGGCTTCCTCTGTCCCTGTGGATTCTGTTGAATATATTGTCAGCAGAATGAATGGCCCAGCAAAGATTATTATTATTATAGTATTATTGAGAATTTTTTTTTTGGGGGGGGGGGACAAAAAATATGGGATTGCTTCAACAAGTGGCAAATTTTAAGACTGCAGTATGGTAATGACCAAAGTTACTTCTTGGTAGATCCAAGATATTCACTTGCTTGGTTTTAGATTAACAACATTCATATTTACAGGTGAAGCTTCCCTAGGCAGTTGACATTTTTCTGATAACTGTTTATAAGGGAAAAAAATAGAACAGCAAAATTTACACACTTTAAAATGATCACTGATTTTATGGAGTCAAAAGTTCATGCTTTCTCATTAGTTATATGTATTAACAGTTTATGTAGTATGATTTGATATTGTTAATCTATTGATGAAAAGCTTAAATAATATACTCAGTTATAATGCTACATATGACCACAAAGTCACAGATTGTCAGTCATGGACACCAAACATCTTTCCCTGTTGAAAGCAACTTTATCCATCACCTTTATTCACTAGGCACTTGACTTTTACAAATGTTCCCATTTTTTCTTCTGACCAGCATTGCTGAAGATGATATCTGAATCTTAAATTTGGTAAGATCAAAAACATTCTCTTGTCTCCTGTGTACAATGGTGTAGCCAGGGGTTGAGTCTTGGACTGAAGTCCAATTTGCAGGAGCCCAGAATTGTCAGAGTATCATCCAGGGCCCAGTGATAAATCTTTCCCTAGAAACTGAAACCTGTATTCAGTAGTAGCAGCAGAGTTAAGGGCTTGGCCTAAATAAGTTGCTTTTATTGCCAAACCAATAAAACAATAGTAACAAAGATCGGCTACTAAAGAAAGAAGCACAATCAAGCTTATTTATAAAACCCCAAGGTTTTAAAGCAGGGATCTTCATGCTCTTCAATTCATTAGCTTCTTCATGATGTTTCAGAATGAGCCCTAAATATTTGTATATACAAATAATTTAAAAGATATAGTACAAATAGTAATTGACTACTTGAATAGGCTCATTGTCTCTTGAGGGTCACCACTTTGGAAAACCCCAATTTAAATTATGTGATGACAGTGTGAACAAGTAAGATGTTTACATGTGAGTTAACCCTGAACAAAGTTGGCACGGCTTTCAGTACCATATTTTCCTATTTTGATACATGTTTTGTTTGTAAATGTGATTACATATTCCTATCTAATCATTATTACTTTAAAGGGGGCTTTTCTCCCCAAGTAAATGGGCATAAAGCATCAGGCGAAAAGCAAAATTTTATTTTACCTTTATGATCTTTATGGTGCTGTGATTTAACTGAGTTTAAAATGTTAAATTGTATAGGTTCAAGAGTAATATACCACAC